CTGACAGGAGAAAAAATTTATGCACAAGTAATAGAGATGTGGGAAAGGACCGATTAGGTGGGAAAACCAATATGTCACAAAAAAAAGAAAAACATACCGGTACATATTAAATATAGCTGCAAGCACTGAGGAGGGGGCAAGAGGTTCAATAGGCCACTGTCACTGAGGCAACTTGATCCGGTTAATAGCCTGGATGGAAGCATGTTATGGGGACGCTTGTTGCAGCACCTCCAAATGGTCAAATCATACAATTTTCTTCACCTTTATGTCAACAAAAGGAAATTTGAAGATACTACTTCTCATCTCACAGCTTTGTGCCAAATTTGACTGGCTGGGTATCTCTGCCAATTTTGCCAAAACTTGAAAATAAATAAATAAATATAACCATGCAAATAATTTAATTTAATTAAAGTTTTGGGGGGGGGTTTGTAAAGAAAATTAAGTATTGCATGAACTGAAGTAGTGCTCTGAACTCCACTTGATCAAATGAAGCCAACGGTACATCATTGCTAAAACTCAAACATATGTTTTACCTAATAATTATGTAAAGAACTATTAGCGAAACCAATCAGACCCACTGTGGTGTGGTGAGTTTCAATCGTGAGTTTCATGAGATTTCAGTCAAACAGGAAGCAAAAATGTTTCCTTTCCTTCCCCCAAAAAAAACAAAAACAAAAACAAACAAAAAAAAAAAACATGAAGATGCACATTTCCTTGGCAGTTTTACAATTCAGTGAGACACCATCTCAACTTGGCACATGAGCTTCATCCCAGCAACAACATAGAAATCTCTTGGTCCAGACTGGGATAAGCAAAAGAACCTCTATGCTAATGATTTCTCCCAAAGCTACTTGAAGTCAGATCCTCCAGTTAAAGGAGACTTTAAAAAAAAGTCTTACAGTGTGTCTTGTGAAAGTCTAGTCTTCTCAAGAGCCATACCTGACAGGGCCTTAGAAGAAGCATAATAAGGATTCAGAAAGCTGGAAATGCTACATATCGAAGCAAGCATGTGCTCACAGTTAAAATCAACAACAGAATTACTGAAAAAGATGATTATTCATTTTTTGCAAAGTAAGACAAGTCAGAGTGACCAATCCAAGTTGAGACTGAGTAGCCTAAGTGGAGGGTTGTTGAGTTTCTTAAGTACCAACACTGTGCCAGGCTGTTATGGTGAAGGGAGACCCAAGTGTAAAATCAAAGCTGTCCATTTATCAGTTGAGCTATGTTCAGTAGTTATAAGTGCTGAGTGTTGACCAAAGAAATGAGATGAAGAATTTCAGACATGCTCTGTCAGCAGGAGGCACTGGAGCAGACCAGGACATGCTGGAGAACATCTCTTGGATGACCTGGGAACCTCAAAGTGTTCCCAGGTGGAGAGACGAAGATCTGGGTTTCTCTGCTTAAACTACGCCTCGTAGACTCGACTACTACTACTAGCTACTAGCAGCAGTAGCAGAAAATGGATGGATGCATGGATAAATGGAGGGATCGATTTTCCAGACTGAGATCTGAGTAATTATTCAGTGTATTCATCCAAAGACTGAGATGTACATCTCTGTATGTTGTTAGTAAAGTCAGATTGTGTTTGTTTCTAATTGTGCTTAAGGCAGAACTATTGGTCATTAAAAATACATTACTTTTTTTTAATTGCAAGCTTTTAATTTCAGGTAGATACATCTGGATCCTTTTACTCAGGCAGGAACCTTCCATCTAATTGTAAAGCTAGCAAGGAGTGCCCTAAATCACTGCGCCAAATTTCAAACCTTTTTTTTTTTACCCCAAAAGAGTTAAAGGCTCGATTATACATTATTGTTTTTCTTAGACAAAGGGGAAAAAAAGTAAAGATAATATAAACTTAAGTTATACTCCGTCATATGTTGGCCTATTTTTCTTCATTTTTTGTTCATTAAAAATGGGGATTAATTCTAAAAAAGGATTCTGAAGAATACGATGAGTAAGTATCCATTATTATATAACACATTTACTAACATTAATGCTAGGTGTGTGTGTGTGTTCATGCATATACAATGGTCATCCTATGTTAGACAAAAGGGTAGGGCCCACGACATCCCCCTCTGGTCTCCTCTCCTTTGTGGAAGATAGTGTTAAATCATTAATAGGCCCACCACCGCTGTGTGTATGTATGTTTGTATGTAAGGATCCATGTGTGTAAGGGGGAGTTCTGCCTTTGGCCCCGTGGCTTCTATCACTGCAATACTGTTCACACATCACTTTTTTTGCACACACGCGCACACGCACACATATATTCACACATACACTTTTCATCTTAGGCAGTTGAAGCATCATCTTGTTCAGACTCATAAATAATTTCCTGTAGCTCAGTCTGGCCTGGAAACCTGCCTTTCACTCCATGCCATCCACTCCCCCTGTCCAACTACAACTTTCTCTCTTTCTCCCTGCCATCTCCACCCCCTTCCCCACTACACTGATCCTTCTTTCTTCATTTCTGTCAGTCCCCATTTCCTCCACCATATCGCTCTACTGACAAAACCAACAAATTGGCTCTGTGCCTTAGCTACTAAAAATATTTCATCTAAAAACGAATTAGCTATACTGATCAATATTTTTATATAAAAACTGGACCAAATCTAGCCTTATATGTGACAGAATTGTCAGCTAGTCTCATATTGTCTTCACTTTGCTTTCCTTAGGGTAAGGGATTCAATAAACCTTAAAGAAATCAATAGAGACCATCTGTCTAGATCTAAATTCACATTTTTTGACATTTAAGACAACACTGATGCCATGGGAGCAGCTCATTCTTTTATATGGGGTGCGTGTACTCTCTATTTTTGGCTATTTCATCATGGGTTAACAGGTCACCCCTGTCAAGCAAAATTCAACTTTACTCAATAGCCTGTTGTAGCTCTCTCTCCATCAACCTTCTCGCAGCTAAGCCATTAAACACTTCAATTTTTAGCTTATTTTGTTCACATGGCAGGCTTAAGCTCTTCCCATAGTTAAACAGACTGCAAAGGTCATTCAGAAATCTCTAGTTTGCTTATATTTAAACAGTTCATGTCAGATTTGTGTTGTTTTTGCCAGGCCTTTACGTGACTAACTGGAGTACAATTGCAGCCAAAACTTCTGATATTTAGTGGAACTGTTTTCTATATCCATTCAATATTTCATATGCCACTAACTGTCCCAAAAAGGAGGATGCTTTAAATCTCATGGTCAAATTCTGCATCATTTTTTTTCTCTAAACCTACTTTTAGAAGTTGTAGAGAAAGAGCTAAGATAGAAACTTCATCTGTGCACAACCTGAAGTTAAAGCAACATCTAAACCAGATGTGGCTTTGTATTCTTCATCATGACATTTGTGATGGGGTACTTGGTAAAGTTTCCTCCTAATGACTTTTTTTGGTGCATCATCTCTGCATGGTGGAAAAATACTGCTAAAGCTTACTGCAACCACAATGAACCGCAATTTTTTTCATTTTCACAGTTTTCCTTAAGAGGACCTTATTAAAGATTTTGGAAATTATAATATGGAGGTGTTTTAATATAGCCTTAACTTGATTTATAAACATCAGTTAACTTAAAGCTCCTCAGTCAATTGCTTAGAAAGCCCATGGCAGTTCTCAACCTATTCAACACGTTTTAGTGCTTCACTGAAATTGTTAATCAAGTTTTACTGTTTAACAAGTAAAAGAAAATAAAGCAACAAAACAAGTATTTTGCCCATAGGTGCCCAAACAAGGATTTGTATCTCAAACATCCAACCATATAATGTGACCACTATCTCTCCAATAATTGTAAAACCCATGAGACAAAGTTCGCCCAAATAGACAGCTCTGTAACGTGATGACAAATATTATTCTACTGGAAAAACAGCTCGTCAGGGAAAGGGAGACTGGGAGGAGAGAGAAAATGGAGTGTGAGAGGGAGAGATGGAAAAAGAGTGAGGCAGGTTGGGTCTTAGGATGAGTGTCTGGTCCCTAAGGCTGTGTGTGAGTAGTGTGTGTTTCCATCAGCATACTCTCTCAGCTCAATAATGATAAATAAGTCAACCTTCTCTCTCCTCCCCTACACCCCTCTCCTCGCTCCTGTCACACACACACACACACACGCACACGCACCTCTTCTCTGTTCATCTACCCCCCTACACTCCCAGTGGTAATGAAGCAACAGTAGGTACTAGCTGACAACTGTGCAGACCGGTTTCATCTATATTCATTCTGCTATAGTGGGCCACCACAGCAAGACCCTTTCTGCACCTGAGAGACAAAACAACATCCATCCATCTCCTTCTTTCCTTTTACCTGTTCACTGTATATCACTGTCTACCAAATGTGTCCCTAATCCGTGGGAAAAGGTCACCGTGTAAAAATACTAGAAAGAAAAACACTGTATATTTCTTTATGTGATGTGGGAGCAATTTCTTAATAGACATGCTTCAAAAAGCACAAGCCCATTTCTAATCTTTATTTTAGTGTTAAATCAACTACAGTCTTATAAGTTCACTTTAAAAACAAAACAAAACAGTAATTTAAACTGGCAAAGTAAGAAAAAGGGATGAAATAAGACAGAAAAAGAAAAAAGTGAAAGAAAAAATTGCAAAAAGGAAAGAAGTATCTACATTTCTACTTGTGTTTCTGCTCCATCTACTGTATATGTGTGTCTGGAGGGTCCTAATTGCTGCTGAGGTCAGACTGCTGAGCAGTAAAGGGTTGTGTTTGATGCAGGTAAGAGTGCGAATGCGCACATGTGTGTGTGTGTGTGTGTGTGTGTGTGTGTGTGTGTGTGTGTGTGTGTGTGTGTGTGTGTGTGTGACTGCTCTGCATGCCCTTGACTTGCAGCTGGCAAACAACGCTTTAGGCCCCCACAGCTGCCTCATCATTACAGTTCACAGGGATCCCCTGCCACACACTCTTGCGCACACACACACACACACACACACACAGTGAGAGAGACTTAGTCACAGCTACACAGGCACAGACAAACAGACACATGCAGACATACACAGAGACACTCACCCCTTCCCGCAGGCTCCTCATTAAGCCAGTGTAGGCGGCAGCGGGAACGAACCACAGTCCCTCTGGGGAGCCTCTCTTCTTCTCCTGATAGAGAGGCATAGAAAAGAGAGGGAGAAAGGGTGAGAGAAGAGAGATGGAGGGGATACAGTAAAGGGAGGAGGGGGCAGTGGAGGAGTAGAGTGGGAGTCAGAGAAAGGCAGAGTGTAGGAGATGCGGAGTGCAGCAGAGAGGAGTTGAGGAAAGGGTAAGAAAAGGGTGCAAAAGGAGCCAGGGCATCTTTATTACTTAACTGCATTTGCAATACTCAAATTAAGACTTTTTCCATCAAAATATTTTAAAAATATAGGAACAAGGTACATGTGAGTATTTAAATAGTGTTTTTTCATTGACTATTTAAGAAACAATCTGTTATCTATTAGTATTAGTAGTAAATGACATTTCAAAAAATAGTTGAAATAATGTGTTACAACTTCCTATGGACTAGGCTGATGGTTTTGGTTGCTCTGTCAAACCATAAACTCACACATAATTCTGAATAATCCTGAAATTATCATGTATTTTATATTAATCTGGGAAATCTAGTATGGTATTTTTTCCTGTGAATGTTCAGTCATCAAAATGTTGCCACTGTATTTTCAGTTATTCACATGATCATATGTTTACCATTTACTTCTTATCCTGACAAAATAGGCTTTACATTTATATTGTCTTACTAACTGTCTTAAAATCCACAAAATTGAGATAAATTCAACAATAATTCAACTTTTTTTTTTATCAAACAATTCTCTGTTCCATTGCAATTGTATAGGCTCTAGGCTACATCTAACCTTGAGGATAAAGTCAGCACTGGAGGCTATAGCTAATCGTTGTCATTGACTGGGGCTGCAGGAGAGTAAAGAAGATCATTTTACCAGGGGACACTTACAAAGCCATTCCACATTACTCAAACTGTTTCTCCTGCCATTATAGAGACAAAGTGGGTCCACATGGCTGGTAGAGCTCAGATCCATGAAGGATTTTCATCTGAACTGTTTGTAATTAAGACATTTGCTTTCACTAATGCTGCTAAATTAACTTAACTATTCATTAAGGTGTTAAAGACAGTCGTGTACTGTTAGCTGACAGCATGAGACAACAAAACACCCAATTTTACTTACTATTTAAAATCAGTCTGATAATATGTTAATTCATCCTTGTAAAGCCCAATAAGGATATAGGTTTTTATGGTGTTTTTTTTTTTCAAGGGTATATCTAGCCTCAAGAACACAGGAAGCAATGTAGCTGACACTAAGCAGAAAACCTATCAGATCATCAGACCGCCAACCTTGAGACTCTAAAAACAGTCCAAAAAAATAAAAAAAACGACTGTGTTTTTGGAGCTCTGATTCTTAAACTGGCATGAAATGAAAAAACGTCAAGGTTAAAACACGTTTTCATGGAGGGGTCCTTTTAAAGAAGTTGACTCAGAGAAATGTTGTGGATATATGCACTCAACATCATGAAACCAAAAAGAAGTTAATTTGAAACACTTGAATTAGTTTGTGACTTTTCAAGACAATGAATATACCCACCAAAAACTTTATTTAATTATGCTGCATTCAAGAGAAATTGAGTTTTGAAAAGATAAACGTGACCATTTCAGTCTTGATGGTGCATCAAGGACAGCCAGAACCATTGAAAAATACAATTTCATATCACCAGGCCTAGATATACAATAACTAAACTGAATGTATAGATATACAATAACTAAACTGAATGTATGTACCCCTAATATATATATATTATATATATATATTATATATATATATATATATATATATATATATATACATTAGGGGTGCAACAATACTCGGATCGATATTGAACCGTTCGATACTCCGCCTAGGCTGCACTGTCGAGCGCAGATCCACTGAGCACAGCGCAAGCTAGCAAGACAAAAGTTGAGCTTGTTGCAACATGGCAACTGCCTCAACGCTACCCGAAATTGAACCTCCTCCACCCTCATTCAGATCTGGCGTTTGGAACTATCTTGGTTTTCATGTGACGTATGACCCAGATGGTAAGTGCGTCATGGACAAAAGTAAAACAGTATGTCGGATGTGCCACGCAATGCTCGATTGGTGGGAACTAGTGTGTTAGCGCAGTTAGCTCGTTAACGTGTTGACACCGTCCAGCTCCACGCACGGGGCGATCCGCGGTAACTCGTTAACGGAGATTTGCGGCATTATGGCGTTAATGTCATTTTAACGAGATTAACGCTGACAGCACTAATGGGAACACAACGAATATGACTGCACATTTACTCCGACATCATCCTAGTGCAAAGACAAGTGGAAGCAGACAAAAACAACAAGCACGCATGCTACAAACTTTACCCGAGTCATTTAGACACCCGTTAGCACATGATTCTCCTTATGGGGACCTGATATGTTTAATATGCTGCTGAGAATATAGCCCAGAAGAAGCGTATAGTATAGCTTTTATTTTGGAAAGAGCCATTTCTCTGTAATAAACTCTCTTTTCCAAAGATGAGTGATTTCTCGATCAGATAGATTTTTTATTATTATTATTTTATTGTTTCAGCAACATTAAATTTAAAAACTGTACTTTTGAGTTAAAATATATATTTATAATTTTAATAAATGACAAATTAAAAAGGCATGAACATTTTTTTGTATTGAAAAAATATCGAAACGTGACACCAAAGTATCGAACCAAACCATGAATCTTGTGTATCGTTGCATCCCTAATATATATATATATGTATGTGTGTATATATATATATATACATACATATATATACACATATATATATATATATATATATATATATACACATATATATATATATATATATATATATATATATATACACACATACATATATATATATTAGGGGTGCAACGATATTCGTATCGATATTGAACCGTTCGATACAGTGCTTTCGGTTCGGTACGCATCTGTATCGAACAATACAACATTTGTAATTTATTTTATCAACTTTCCTTCTGACGATGCTGTCTGTGTTGAGCGCTCAGTGAATCTGCGTTCGACTACTCCGCCTAGGCTGCACTGTCGAGCGCAGATCCACTGAGCGCTCAACACAGACAGCATAGTCAGAAGGAAGAGCGCAGGGCAAGCTAGCAAGACAGAAGTTAAGCTCCCCTTGCAACATGGACCTCCCCCACCCTCATTCAGATCTGGCGTTTGGAATTATTTTGGTTTTCATGTGACGTATGACCCTGAAGGTAAGCGAGTCATGGACTAAAGTAAAACAGTATGTTGGATGTGGCATGCAATGCTCAATTACATGGGTGGGAACTAGTGTGTTAGCGCAGTTAGCTCGTTAACGTGTTGGCCGTCTAGCCCCATGCACGGGGCGATCGGCGGTAGCTCGTTAACGGAGATTTGCCGTGTTGTGGCGTTAAGGTCATTTCAACGAGATTAACCTGAAAGCACTAGTGGGAACACAACAAATATGACTGCACATTTACGCCGACATCATCCTAGTGCAAAGACAAAAACAACAAGCATGCTACTAACTTTAGCCGAGTCATTTAGACAGCTGTTAGCACATGATTCTCCTTATGCTGCTGAGAATATAGCCCAGAAGAAGCGGATAGTATAGCTTTTATTTTGGAAAGAGACATTTCTCTGTAATAAACTCTCTTTTCCAAAGATTAGTGATTCCTCAATTAGATACAGGGCTTGCGATATCGCTAGCCCGACGTCCTGGGGCTAGCGATTTTTTCAGTCGGGCTACCAAAACCTATCTCTTCCCTGCCCGTCGGGCTATTGTAGGAAGGAAAAATATATGTCAATGCTTTTGCATTCTTTCAGAAATGTAGCTGGGTAATTATGTCTTTGGCATCGGTGAGCCACTGTCAATATGTGACATATTGAAATCGCGTTTGAATTTGCGCTTGCTTTTTTGCTTTCACTTTGCAATCGTGCGAACTGTGTATAGAGAGCGACAGCACTGATCTGTGAGTGATGATAATTTGTGCACCAATTCCTCTGACATCGTCTTATTAATCGTTAGCTTACTATGCAAACATGACAAGTGAAATCTCCCGCAGCAAGCTTAAACATGTGAGAGGTTGATCGAGCAGAGAATCGCTGAGCTTATGTGAGTGCTTGTGTAAAAGCAGCAGTATATATATTTTAGTTCTGCTGAGCCAAATAAGACAGGTCAGGGTGAAGAAGTGACAGCCAAAGAAAAGCTTACCACAAAACGGAGAAGTTATGACAAATCAGACTATAAGGCAAAAAGAAAGTGCAGCTTTATGGTTTCATGGACAAAAGAATTTCTGTGGCTGCAATATGACGAGCTAAATAACCAGGGCTGCACATAAGTGGTCCGCAGGTGCGCATTCGCTGTCAAAATAAAAAACACGCACAAGGGTTAGGGTTAAATTTAAAAACTGTACTTTTGAGTTAAAATATATATTTATAATTTTAATAAATGACAAATTAAAAAGGAATGAACATTTTTTTTGTATCGAAAAAATATCGAACCGTGACACCAAAGTATCGAACCGAACCGAACCGTGAATTTTGTGTATCGTTACACCCCTAATATATATATATATATATATATATATATGTATATATATATATATATATATATATATATATATACACACATACATACATTACATACATACATACATACATATATATATATATACATACATACATACATACATACATACATATATATATATATATATATATATATACATACATACATACATACATACATACATACATATATATATACACATACATACATACATACATACATACATATATATACATACATACATACATACATACATATATATATACATTAGGGCTGCCACGATTAGTCGACTAGTCACGATTACGTCGACTATCAAAATCGTCGACGACTGATTTAATAGTCAACGCGTCGTTTGAAGCTTTGTAAGATCACAAAAGACGCAGGAATAAGTAGCAGGATTTAAGAGTGTAATAACGGACTGGAACAGAAGATGGCAGCACAGCATGTACAAGGATGCCAGCTGCCGTTAAACCCCGAAGAAGAAGAAGCAGTTTCCCAGAATTCATAGCGCGGCCCAGCTCAGTTTCCAACAATGGCGGCAGCTAGTTAGTTTTAATATTACTCTTATTATTCTTTCTGGGTCACAAAATAAAGGTTTAACATATTTTCAGGCGAGAATGTAGCTGTGTAAACCTCAAATATCTGCTCAGTTTATCAAGACACCACATATTTTCAAAAGCGCTCCGACGTTTTCGGAGACGTCTGTTACCCACTAGCTCGATAGTTAGCCGGGGGCTAGGCTAACTAGAGCCGTGAGAACACCGGACTCCCGGCAAATCGTTTTCAAACCACCGCCGTCTTTCGCTACTTAGGTTAAATATATATGAGTCACTTAGATAACTTAAACATGTTATTGTTTGGCTTTTTTTAGTATTTTATTTGTTCCTGAGGAAATCGGTTTGGCTGAGATTAAAGTTTTTACACAGCTGAATAAACGTCAAGCAGACAGCTGATTATCAGAAGTGTGAGATGCTCGAGAATTTACTCCGGTGTCCTGTTATATTTTAGATAGCAAGGAGTTTATTAAACTTCACCGAAACAATCTGCAAATTTCATTAAAATTTTATAAACTATCATCTTGTCTTTATTTTTAGTTAGCACATACCTTAAACACTTAAAGCTGTAAGCTAATGATAGTTATATAAGAGCAGATGCTGCTGGTGCAATAAGCTGTACGTTTTACGTCCAATGGATGATGATCTGATTAGTCGACTAATCGCAAAAATAATCGGTGACTAGTCGACTATCAAAATAATCGTTTGTGGCAGCTCTAATATACATATATATATATATATATATGCACTAAAATTTCAGTAACACTAAAGACACTACATTACAGAGCATCTTAGGGATGGTAAGTTGATATAAGATCATTTTTTACTATAACTAAATGAAAATGTATACGTTTAAATTGCTGGTTAGATGATTTCTGTGGGAGATAGAACACATTTGCATCAGTCGACAAACACAATTCCTGCAGGAGCTTAAGAGTCAATTTATTAGGAGCTTCGACACAGCAATGAGATTGTTTAAGGTTTCAGAGAATAATGTGTGCAATCAGGTGGGTGGATTGATTTTTAAAGGTTATCCATCAGTTGAGTAAATAAAAATCTTATGCTTAATTGACCTGCCTGGGTAAATTAGGTTAACTGGCAATAAATTGTAGTGCCCCTGGTAATGAAGTCAAACAAGGCCCCCTTCGCTCTAATTCTCAGGGCTGGGGGTCAATTAAATTTCAACTGAATTTAGTTAGTGTGTAGATATAAAGTCCATTACCTGATGACAGAGTACTTTCATTCATTTCACCTAAAGCTGAACATTACCACTGAAGAAATAACAAACAGTCTTACTTGTGACATCAATTCTGTGTTCATTTTTACTTATTAACTGAAGAAATCAATTTCACTGCTGAACTATTGGCGAAAGATGATATGACACATTCACAGCCACTTAAAGTTAACAGCAAGGTGAGCAGCCAGTGAATCATTTCTTTCATTGTATTCCTTACTGCTTGTATTAACATAATTGTTCGGGTCATTTAATGACATAATATGCCACTGCCTTGTCTAGTATGTAGAACAATATTAAGAGAATTTGTCTGAGACTAATTAAAGACCTTCATGAATTAGTCTTAACAATGGTGTATGGAAAACAGACTTTAATCGCAGGTTAACGGTAAAAAAAAGAATAAAATCAAATAGTAAGAAATGCACCTGCCCCAATCTGCTGGTTTCTTCTTGACAAAAATGCCAAATAACATTTCTATTAACAGTTCCTCTTCTGTTATACCTCTTCTAATCAAGGAAAAATCTACTTCACAAAGAATGAGTGTTAAAAAAAACGAGTAATGTTCTTGCCACTTATGCAACCTCCTGCAATGAGTGTCCTTTTCATGCCTAAAGCAAGTATGCATGTGGACCGACTTCTATAGACGTGTTTGGAAACATAATCATGTTTCAATAGACTGCAACATATCTATCTCTTTAAAAATGTCTCTTCACGTTGGCTTCTGACATTCAAAGTGTACCTGAGAGGAGATGAGGTAGAGGAACTCCGCGAGTGGTGGCAGCAGGAGCCGTTTTATTTTACTGTTCCTTAGATTATCCCTCAGCAGGTCTGTTAGTGTGGACACAGCCTGCAAAGAGCATGACAAACACTTTCAATAGTACTTCTATTTTCAATTAAAGTTCAATCACATGAAAATTTAAAAAGCAATAATAATAATAATAATAATAATAATTTAAAAAAAAAAAACTATCTGCACAATAAAATTACAATTCATTTTACATTTATATATTTCCCTAGGGCTGGACATATTCTATTTTTTAATACAAGCCAGGGGCATCTGTATTACCCAGAGACATCACCAGAAGCATGGCAATGCTCTGCTAGCACATAAAAATTTCAACTTCAAAACTCTTATATTCTAACATTATTTTTAAGTTGAGGTAGCAAATACAAAAAGCTTAGCTAAAACCAAATATCTAATTTATGAACGCAATCAACTAAAAATATTAAGGAAAAACAGGAAAATTGATTTTGTCAAAGTCACTAAGGCCACTATTACAGAGATCATAATTTCAAAGCCTGCAAAGCTGTCCCACTGTGTAGGATTATAGTCCAAATCTACCAGGAGCTGCCTGTGTTGTAGTCAACAAAAACCTGGTCTACAACTTTTGAGGAACGAAGACATGCATATTATTTAAAATTTGATGACTAAAACGGCAACAATGTCATGCTAACCTGAAAAACATTTAACAACTGTTTGTTTTAGTAAAGCTGAACAATTATCCACTGATGTTCTTTGAAAGAACCTGCAAATGCAATATTGTCACTTCTTCTATGAGGTTAACACAAAGCCAGTAGTGAAAGGCTGCAGGACCCAGAGTGATGCTCAGGTTGGATCTTCCCAAACAAATCCACCAGTCAAAGCTTGACTTTGAGAAAAAATGAGTGATGAGGTCAACAGGTTTACAGCACTGAGGTTGGTTTTTACAGTAGGGACACTGCTCTCACATCAAATACTCCTTGGGCAATAAACTGTTGTATAAGTTGCATAATGTTAAAAAACAAACAAACAGCAAAAATGTGTAACAAAATACTTTGTGTATGGAGTTAAAATATAATATTATGGTTTACCTTTTAAGTAAGGACAAGATTATTAGCTGCTGGAATAAGACATAATTGGTTTATCTATAGCCCTGTGAAAGGCTGGAAACATGTCCAGGGTGTATTTCATGACTTAGAGGATGGATATGCTCAAGGCCCTCTATTCATCCAGTTCAGGGGGGCAGAGTTAAGAAAACAGAAGCATGGATGGGATATACATTAAATACAAAAAAAAAAAAAAAATCCCATTGAACTCAGATGTAAACACACACACACAGACTTAATTATATGCAAACACAGCCTTTCTGGCTGGCTGCTTCCTGACATTAGCATTACTGCCAGCTTTTCCCCCTCTGTGATCTGATGCAAGTTCTGCCTCATTCCTCTTTTGTTCCTGCTTTCTTCTTTATTTTTTCCATTGTTTCCATTCTCTCCCAGTTTTGTATCATTTCTGTATTGTTGAACACATTTTCTCCTTCTCTTCCATTTTAAATTTGCCTGCTGTGATTCTATTACAGCACTACAGTTACACTCAAGCAATTGTATTTTGCCATTTTCCAATCTTCTCTCTCACTCCCTTAGTGAGATCAAACCACTAACAATTTCTAAATGGAAAAGGTTGGGAATTAATATGCTGGAGTGTGTTAGAAACTGGTCAAGCAGCTGTACTCAGGGAGAGGGGAGAGGTAGAGAAAAAAAAAGCCTACATGAAGACATATAAAAAATAATTCCCAGAGAACACCTTACAATTATCTCAGCATCAGCACTTCAGGTGAAAACTATGCACATCAATGCACACAAGGAAATACAAACCCATGCACTTAATTAACACACATAAACAACAACGCAGACACACACACACACACACACACACACACACACACAATAAACAGTGCGATGACCAGTTACTGCGGTGGACTATTAGCCTTATAGAAGACTGAAGACTCAGCCAGAATTAATAGGTAATACAAGCCCATAAAGCGGTGACAGAGGAGACTGACTTATAAATCAGTACACCAGATTTCAATCCCAGCTGTCATAGCGTGAAAGGCGGGGGCACACCTGGATAGTTTGTCAGTTTGTTGCACGGCTAAATTCAGATTAATGGATCACATATCTTATACTAACAATGTGAGGCACAGATTATCACAGCATCTAAAAACACATTCACCAAATATCTCTAGGAAACAAGACTTTTATATTGTTTACCCATAAGAGTATCCAGACGTGCCACTTTAATCAACTTTATTTAACTTTAATCAAAATCAGTCTTAACATAATTACACAACACAGTCAGTCCAAACTTTTTTTTCTTTTTTACAAAGGATATTTAGAAATCCAGAAATGTCTTTGTTGAGCCATTGCCCTCTGAATATGTCTTCTTAAGGATTGCTGTGAGCTTTTAAAATTCATTGCTTTCCTATAACCCTTCACAGTTCAAGCTTTTGTGGCAAAACTCCCAGAAAATCTGGGGAAGATCATGTGTAGTGGATTTTGAAAGCACAGCTTCTCTATCTCACATTAAGAAAGCAAGAAACATGCATTAGTAACATTAAAACAAAACATTTATTTTTCATTTAATTCTATTTGACGGCTGAAGGACAATGACAGACTCACTGTAGAAAGACAAAAGAGAAACAAACAGGACAGGAAGAAAGAACAGTGAGACAGGAAGAGAGACAGACGAGTGTGTCTATTGAAGAGTAATGAAAGCATATAGCAGCTACCATGGTAACTAAGCCCAGCCCCAAAACTCTGATTAGCAGAATATCAGTGAGAGGACCCCTGCTGAGAAAACACACACACACACACACACACACACACACACACCAGAGAAAAAAATCTTTTATTGGTCATCTGTTAGCATCACTATAACATAAGGACAAACACAAACACAGATGCACCAAAAGAAGGAAAAAAAACAAACAAACCCCCCCCCCCCCCACACACACACACACGCACGCACACAAAATATCATAAAAGAGACCCCTGCTGAGTCCTCGCATAAACATGGTTTAAAAAAAAAAAAAAAAAAAGCACACTTGCAGAAACACACAAAACACCTCTGCTGCGTCTATAGATGGACACACGACTACAGACACAAAGATTATTTATATAATGCTTTTTGTTATCCTTGTCATTAGTAGCTGATTTTTTTCCACTCATCATTGGTTTTTAACAATTCACTAAAGAGAAACTGCGATGCCAAAGTCGTCCATTTTGTATATCGCTGTGATGACTCGGTAAATGGTAAATAGACTGGTTCTTTTAGCGCTTTTCTACTCTTCTGAGCACTCAAAGCACTTTACACAACATGTGCATTCACCGATTCAAACAAGCACATTTTCTTAGTGCTTTCTAACTAACATTCACACACACATTCATACTCCGAGGGATGCATCGGAGAGCAATTTGGGGTTAGTATCTTGACCAAGAGGCATGCAGACTAGGGGAAGCCAGGAATCAAACCACCAGTATCAGTAGATGATCAGTAGATGACCTGCTCTACTGCCTGAGCTACAGCCATCCCAGTAGCAGCAAAGAGCCAGAAGACAACTGGTGTGGTATAAAACAGTTCTCTGGCGTAAGATGTCGACAGTAAACCATGGTAAATAAGAATAAGCCCTGGGCATCACTGACAAATAGCACATAGCTAGATCTCTGTGCCATTTATACACCCCCAGTAGATTCTACTTTGATGAAGCCATTTTTTAAACTCCATCAAGAATCTGCCAATGTCCAGGACTCAAAAAAATGATGCCTGATATGATGAAACTACAAATCAGAAACTACTTGTTTTGTAAGTCTCACTGGTAATGCGTCTCTCCCTTCTGCTTGTACATAGTTAACAGAAAGTTCAGAGGGGACTCTAGAGAAATGACTCAACAAGGGAAACCAATAAACTGCAATGCTTATGATGGGCCCTAGACAGTGATGACAAATCTGCAAAGGCTTTAAAGTTACATTATCTGACAAATCACATATCAGTATATAGTAAAAATCAGACAAACAAAAACAAGACAATCAATACATTCCTGCCAATATGGCCACTGGTAATATCAATATTTTATCATAAGGCTAATTTCTCTCATTTGTGGCACTAAACATGACCATGTAAGTACCATGGCATCTATGTCAGCATGTGCATAGGCACATTCATAAAAAAGGTCACTAAATATTGTTTATGGATGACCCATGATAAATTAAAATCTTCCACCTAAACCACTGTACTATTGAACATACAGTGGGGCAAAAAAGTATTTAGTCAGCCACCGATTGTGCAAGTTCCCCCACTTAAAATGATGACAGAGGTCAGTAATTTGCACCAGAGGTACACTTCAACTGTGAGAGACAGAATGTGAAAAAAAAAAAATCCATGAATTCACATGGTAGGATTTGTAAAGAATTTATTCGTAAACCAGGGTGGAAAATAAGTATTTGGTCACCTCAAACAAGGAAAATCTCTGGCTCTCACAGACCTGTAACGTCTTCTGTAAGAAGCTTTTCTGTCCCCCACTCGTTACCTGTATGAATGGCACCTGTTTGAACTCATCATCTGTATAAAAGACACCTGTCCACAGCCTCAAACAGTCAGACTCCAAACTCCGCCATGGCCAAGACCAAAGAGCTTTTGAAGGACACCAGGAAAAGTATTGTAGACCTGCACCAGACTGGGAAGAGTGAATCTACAATAGGCAAGCAGCTTGGTGTGGAAAAATCAACTGTGGGAGCAATCATCAGAAAATGGAAGACATACAAGACCACTGATAATCTCCCTCGATCTGGGGCTCCACGCAAGATCTCATCCCGTGGGGTCAAAATGATCATGAGAACGGTGAGCAAAGATCCCAGAACCACACGGGGGGACCTGGTGAATGACCTGCAGAGAGCTGGGACCAAAGTAACAAAGGTCACCATCAGTAACACACTACAACGGCAGGGAATCAAATCCCGCAGTGCCAGACGTGTTCCGCTGCTGAAGCCAGTGCATGTCCAGGCCCGTCTGAAGTTTGCCAGAGAGCACAT